GTATTTATAGTTTTAGAGAAGGTTAATTTTGTAAATTGAAAAAGGGTTAAAATTTTAAAAATAAAAGGCTATTTTTGCAAACCTGCCGTTGGCCAACGGACCAATTTCCAGGTCTGACCGTTGCCAACGGTCAATGGGCCCCACATAATTTGAAATTTCTTTTTTTTAAAAAAAATTTGACCGTTGTACCGGGCCGGTTAACCCGATAAGAGTTACTGTTCACTGGACCGGGTTCAACCGATCCGGCTACCCGTTTTAAAAAATCTACACGGACCAACCCTCTCTACCCACCTACCCAGCCCAGCCCAGCCCCCTGTAACTGGTCCGGGCTGGTTTCGGGTTAAATCGGTCTGGGCCGGTCCGGAACCGGGCTGACCTGGCCCGTTTAACACCTTTATATACAATACTTTTTAAAAAACATGTGCAGTTTTAGCTAGAAAATTCCCTAGCGTACATACAAAATTTGTAAGAATTTTAGGAATAGGTAAAACGGATATATAAAATGCGATACAACACATTTACGCAATTAACGGGATGCGAGAATGCCACTTATAATCGGTTTTGCGGACTGCGACTTATGAATCGCATTACTGGAACGCGACGATAAATCCATTCCCGGGCCAACTTCTGTGAACCATATTTCAGATGCCAACGTCCCCTCTATTCTCTCTCCTTCCGTTTCTGTTTCCATTTCCTCTTCGGTAAAATTACTCTCTCTTTCTACGTCTTATACACAGTTGAAAATCTGTTATTGATATGCTGTGATTTGATCTGCGCGTGAGCAAATGATACACTCTCATTTTTGTTAATTTGTCATAATCGTGCTATGTTGTAAAATATTTGTTTTTTGTTTGAATTCTCCATTTCTTTTTCTTTTTGGTTAATCTTTCATAATAATGCGATGTTGTTCTGATTATTGCGTTTGAATTCTCAATGTTCTTTCTTCTCGGTTGAATTTTATATAATGAAATGAGACGTTGATGTTTCCTTAGAACCTTCTCGAGATCGAATCTGAGAACTGCAGTATTTCTGGTCACGAACTCTTCTTATAACTCAGATTTATATTTTGTTTACTACTACTAAAGCCTAAAAGTATTATCCTAAGTTAGACTTTTTTTTTTCTGGTCATCTTATGTTCATTGAGTCCGATACATGGATCAATATTTGTCAAAAGGTAGTAATTAGTATAGGAAAAAAAGAGCAAAGCAAATCCAATTTGTACCAGTTTGGTATGAATATCATTTTTATAATTACTTTTTTGAAATCCTACCCTTCTGGACTTTTGGCTGCTTAACAGAAAATCTAATTTGATTCTACATGTTTTTTACCTTTGACTGTCCTACTGGTTGAAAATGATTGAATTGGTAACCTTGTTTCTGGTCTGCATCAATCTTGGTTACTTAACGTGCTCAAATTAGTAGCTTCTTTATCTTTTAGTGATTAAATGCAGTTTCAACATATTTGGTGCAGTGTAAAAGCAACTTATTAGGCCTTTAGGTGAGGAAAGAAAAAATAGAACTTGGTTTTAGGGTGGAAATTCTGCTTACTTGATCATAATTTTGGTAGATGAAAAAGATCCCGTTGCCAAATGGTTTGGCACTTCCATTGTCATTCATAAATATATCAATGTCTCTAGAACAAAAAGCCTCTTAATGGCTCATATGTCTTAACTACGTGGACGAGTAAACATAAGAAATTGTAGCAGCTACTTTGCATGAATGTCTTATATTCATATGTTGCAAATTAATTTCACGGCATAAGTTGTTTATGGTTGGTTCCAGGAACCAGGCTTGACCATCTTATCTCAACTCAAGAAAATAGCATATATGAATGGTGTTCTGTATGTTTGCCGATGTTTCATATTGGCAAAACAGTGTAGAAAAAAGTATTAAGTTGCTATAGGAAGATTTTTCCCTGTCAATAATTCCCTCTACCCTTTCACCTAGCTGGACTGGTGGAGTGGTGGTTACTATTTCAGCCTCATGTTTAAAATTTGTATAGTTTCCTTTTGGTTCCTTATGATATGTTCTTTTGCTTTGAATTAACAGAACACCAATCATGCTTTTGTAATATTTTCTTTGACATATATCACTCTGAAATCTTGTCATTTTCCTGGGGAAGTGTTGATCCCTCCCTTTGTCTCCTTTTTCTGTCTTTTATTTGATATAGATGTTACCTCACAGAGGAATATCACACCTTTCTCTGCTCTACTTTTGGGATATTAGGTCATTACATGTAGATGTTGTTCTCTTGGTAGTTTGTTTTAATCACTCGTCTCAGTGTATGCTTTTTCAATAATAGTAAAAGTCCATCATGGTTGCAAATGCAGATATGGATGTCTCTGGAGGTCAAAGCTTGTATCCTTTACACCGCTGCAAAACTATACACCTGGTTTGTCGTTGGTCTTGCGTCTCTTATCTGATTGTGCAAATTTGCCATAAAGATACTCAAAGAATAATTCTGATCCTTCCTAGTTAAGATTCTTGGTTTTTTTACTTGCTTTCTGATAGAGTTTTGAACTATATTGCTTTTAACATGTAGGTGAGGCATGCTCAGGGGATTCACAATGTGGAAGGAGAAAAGGACCACAGTGCATACCTATCTCCGCACCTTTTTGATGCACACCTTACTCCTCTTGGCTGGGAGCAGGTGATAAATAGTTAGACATGGCTACATTTCTGTCAACTGTTTGCTTAGACATGGCTACAGTGCATACCTATCTAGTAGTAGGTTTGTTTTAGGTGAGGATCGTCTTTCTCTCCAATGACATGGTGGACGTCAAGAGTGTTGAAGTCTTTCCCGCTGTCCTTTTCCTTGCTTTTGAATCTTTAGCTTAGAAGAGTTATCCATAATAGAGTCCGACCACAACAACTGAATTGTTCATCTTTATGATAAGGATAATAACAGTCACTTGAACTTGTTTTCTGCCATTATGAAACTTAGGTTTGTGGTATTGAAAAATCTCATTTGGTACTGTTTCAGGTAGATAATCTTCGGAAACATGTTCACGCATCTGGACTTTCTAAGAAGGTGGAACTAATTATCACTTCTCCTTTATTGAGGTACACGCTGTGTTTTATATCTTAGTGTCGAGAAGCTGTGACATCTTTATCTTTCTTCTCATTTGATATGAAAGTTTCATCTCTTTTTTTGGAACATGTGCACAATATTATGCTTTTGAGGTGGCACTATGATGGATATTTAAAGCAGCGTTGGATTTCTTAAATAATCATTCTTTTGTTATACTTAACATAGTGGATGGAATATGTCTTGAGCCTCGTGAAACCAGAATTTTCTGGCTTCATGAGAAGTACAATTCTTTTATGCATGCGCATTCCAGCACTATTCTATGAGATCAGTTTCCCTTTTGGGATTTTTCAGCACTGATGATGGTAGCAGGTTGTTTTGTTTTAACCTTCAACTTTGGTGGTCTTGCATTGTAGGACTATGCAAACGGCAGTTGGAGTTTTTGGTGGAGAAGGTTTCCCAGATGGAACAGACGTTCCCCCACTCATGGTGGCAGATGCAGGAAACAGTAACCATCCAGCAATTTCAAGTGTAAATTGCCCTCCCTTCATTGCGGTGGAGGGTTGTCGTGAACACTTGGTAATGTCATCCTAAAAGTTACCTGACTTTAATGTGTCAAGTCTTCTTTATCCTTTTCTCGTGCCATTATATTTGTTTTCTCTATCTATTGTTTCATGCAGATGACTGAATCTTATTATTTCACGATTGTGTTCCTCCTAATAGTTACCTCCCTTCCACGATTATTTCCTCTTCTGATGTTGATTTAAGTTGGTGTTCTTTTCTCCTTCTTGTCAAGATATTTTTTGGTCTCTCACACGCTCTCTCTCTCTCTCACTCTCTCTCTTTTGCATATAGTGTTTTTGATCATGGATAGAATTCTTTCTTTTTCTTGCAAACTAGAGTACCATTTGTTGGCAGGAAAAGTAAAACCCCTTTGCTTCTATTTTCTTTCTTTAACATGTCAAATTTTTTTGGTAAGGTAGAGCCGTAGAGGAGTTTGGGACGAGGAATGACTGTTTTCATGCTGTTCTTTGGTCTTGGCAATAGTCTGTTATGTCTAGAGACTAGAAGTACCAAATTGTTTAGAAAGCATTTTCTTATAAACAAGATTCGCCAAGAATTGATAAAAATTGTGCTCATGTAGTGGATTTTGGCAAAAATTTATGTTCTGTCATATTGTTAGTTCATCTGTAGTAATGCATATCAGTTATGTGAAATGAATTAAAACAACTTAAAGCATTTAACCTATCACTTGGCGTGAGAGTCTTCTGTTATGTATTGCTAATTGTTACTGAAAACTAATATTGACACCAAAACTACATGACATATTGAGCATATAAGAAGCGGAGTGATTAATATGACAAAAGATTTTGGGAATGAATTGTTTTGGTGCTCCTTGTTTGGGTATAAGTGCTTGTAAAGCAGCTTGATAAACTTGGTTTCATCGATTGACAACTTTTCCTCTTCTTTTCCTTCACTCACATGAATGTTTGTGATCCTTTGTTTTCTGGTTTATACTCGTAGAACTTTGGTTATTGACTCTGCCTAAATCCCTTTATGTGGGCTTCTGATTGAGTTGAACAACTAGGTGGCGTGTTTCTCTTATGTTCCACTTAATCTTACTACCTCTATTTCATTTTGTGTGAATAGAATGTTATATTATTAGGCGGAGAAGTTTTTTAAATAATGGTTTGAAAAGAAATTTTAGTGTAATAGTTTGTTTGTAAGATGTCAAATAAAGTTTCCAATGTTCTGAAGTAATTTCTTATATTAGTGTGAATTGTTGAAGGGGAAAATATTTCCATTTTAAGGAAGAGGTCAACTCTTTTGGGGTGGACCAAAAAGGTAAGGCTCGGTGATATTGGGACAAGGGGATATTATTATAAAGGAACTGCAGAAACTTTCACTTTTTCAATGTTAGCATACTAGAAGCTTACTTGTTCTTATGTGTTGCCAAATGCAGGGAGTTCATTGGTGTGATAAGAGGAGAAGCATTAGCGAATACAAGCCTCTATTTCCTGCAATTGATTTTTCCTTGGCAAGTACTTATATTTCTCAAAATATCCTCATGCTGACTTTAATTTTTGGTATGATTTGCCTGCTGCCACATACTTTTAGTGTTTTCTGGATGAAAAAGGTTCACCTTGATTTTCCCAGATTGAATGTGATGATGATGTTCTCTGGGAGCCTGATATCAGAGAGCCAAATGAACACCTTGCTGCTAGAGGAATGGAGTTCTTGAAGTGGTAAGTGCTTGTTTGTCAGAAAGAATGCAAAATTGATCTTAATAATCTTCAGATGTTTGTGACTTTGTGTCCACATTTGAGTTTTATGACAAATCTAAATCTAAATGAACATGAAAAAGCATGGTTCAGTACGTTCAGTAATTCAACTACCTGAGAGTAGTTTCACTGATGCTGTGAACATTAAGTAATTGTCACGACCCCAATTCCCCACGGAGAATGTCGTGATGGCACCTAATCTCTACGATTAGGTAAGCCTAACATGCATGGAGAAATAGCGGAAATAATAATAGAACTTGAGATTTAAACCATCTAGCTATCATAAAAGAACTTTACAATAACGCAAACAATAACTCCCAAAATCTGGTGAGACCTAAAATCTGGTGAGACTGAGTCATAAGCTCTACACGAATATACTGTAACATCCCTAATACATCACTGTCTAAATAAAGAGTAAGCAGTAGAAAAACAAGGACAGATGGTGACTCTGAGGCCTGCGAACGCCAGACAGGTATACCTTGAAGTCTCCGAACTGAATGCTCTACTCACTGGTGCCTAGCCTGGGTTGACGTACCTGGATCTGCACAAAAATGTGCAAAAAATTAGTATGAGTACACGATAACGGTACCCGGTAAGTATCAAGCCTAACCTCAGTAGAGTAGTGACGAAGTCAGGTCAAGACACCTATTAGGATAAGAAAAGAAGCTGAACAAGTATAGTACAGTCTAATAATGGAAACAAGGAAAATGAGGCAATAAAGCAATACAACAAGATAAGCTACAACCGAATTTAAAGCAATAAAGGCAATAAGGAAGGATCACATAATAAGAACATAAAAAAAAACAATGCGGCCAAATACAAGTGAGGTAAATGAGAGATAACAACAAGAATCACCACCGAGGTACGCCTCGTAATCTCATTTCACAATCACAATTACAACCTTTCCTTATACCGCCGCGTGAGCCTTACATTTAGATAGTTTGAAAACATTTGTTTTCCCCGAAATAGCTACACGCACTTTGGACCACCTTATGTCGCCACGTAGCTTCAAGTAATTCCCTTACTAGCAACATGCACATAAATCACACCTTATGCCGCCACATGTACATTAACCCCTATCCTTATACCGCCGCATGCGCATCAATATCACAACTTAATCACAACTCGCACCACAAGTGCTCATATACCACAACTTGCCAAAAGAATCAACAATACCAATGTTTCCACAACAAGTAGCCCATGGCTCAACCACAATGTGTACAAGAGTCTCAACAATAACAAAATAATGGTGAATAGCTCAACAAGAACGATATCTCAACAATTAACAACTTCGTCTCAAAGTGATAACGGCTTTTACAACTTAAACACCAATAGCTAAACAAGAGATATTCCATGAATTAACAACTTCAAGTAAGTAATTCCACAATTAAAGAAGTAACAAGACAATATGACAATAATTTCAACTAAAGCATATAAGAGCAAAATAACATGAGGTGGAAAATGTTAACAATGTCAAATAAAGCATATGAGGGTAGATTAACAATGAAAGATATACCATACTATGACAATTCGATTAAAGGCATGAAAAGAGTCTATAGCCTAAATTGGTCAAATACCATATATAGCCCGTGTACCCACTCGTCACCTTGCGTACATGGCCTTCACATATCACAAATAACACAAACAACTCTAATCCAAAGGGGTAGTTCCCCACACAAAGTTAGGTAAGATACTTACCTTAAACAAGCTAACTCAATCCACTAGTAAGCCTTTCCCGCGAATATCCAACTCCGAACGGCTCGAATCTTAGCCAAAATAACTTAATACCATAAATACAAACCATAGGAAACTATTCCGTATAATAAAGTTGCAATCTTTAAAGAAAATCAAAAAGTCAATCCCGGGCCCGCGTCTCAGAACCCGGCCAAACTTATAAAATCCGAACACCCATTCAATAACGAGTCCAACCATACTAAAATTATCCAATTTCGACCACAAATCGACCTCCAAATCTTCAATTTATAGATTAGGAAGTTTTCACAAAATTCTTCAATTTTTCCAACTCAAAACACTAATTAAATGATAAAAACAATGATGGATTCATGAATAATAATCAAATCTGAGTAAAAAACAATTACCCCAATCAACTCCTTGAAAATTCCTTCTAAAACTGCCAAAAACCGAGCTCTCTAACTCAAAAGATGAAAAATGGAACAAAACCCTCAATCCAGCCCTTTTCTGCCCAGTTATTCCGCTTCTGCAGACTAATGGCCGCTTCTGCGGCTCTGCAGCGGAAAATCCATCGCTGGAGCGACTTTTCATTAAGCTAGGAAGATCACTTCTGCGGACCATAAGTGCGCATTTACGCTTGTGCTTCTGCGGAACCAAGCCGCTTTTGCGCGTTTGTTTCTGCGGAGAAATGACCGCACCAGCGGTCACAGCTCGCCCAGCCCCCAAATCTCGCTTCTGCGGTGCCGCACATGCGGCCCAAAGTGCGCAGGTGCTATTGCACCAGAATCTCAGCTGGACAAAAGCTCTTCTAAATCCAAAATGATTCCGGATTCAATCCGAATCAAACCCGGGCCCCGAAACCTCGTCCAAACATACTATCAAGTCTCAAATCACATAATGGACCTACTCGAGGCCTAAAATCACATCCAACAACACCAAATCTACGAATCGCCACCTAATTTAAGCCTATTGAATCCATGAACACTCAACTTCCAAAACTAATGTCGATTCATACCAAACCATCTCAGATTGACCTCAATCTTCACCTTATCAAAAAAAAAGACCTCAAGTTTTGCCCACAAGTCATATATGACACAACGAACTTATTCCAACTTCTGGAACCAAAATCCAGACCCGATATCAACAAAGTCAACCCTCGGTCAAACTTCTCAACCTTCAACTTTCCATCTTTCGCCAATTCAAGCCAAAACGACCGACGGACCTCCAAATCAATATCCGAACACAATCCTAAGTCCCAAAAACACCATACGGAGCTATCAGAATCATCAAAACTCCATTCCGGAGTCGTCTACACAAAAGTTAAACTCCGGTTAACTCTTGCAACTAAGCTTCCAACCTTGGGACTAAGTGTACTAATTCACTCCGAAACTTACCCGAAACCAAACCAACTACCCCGGCAAGTCACATAGCCACAATTTAACATAGAGGGGGCAATAAATAGGGGAATGGGGCTAAAATACTCAAAACGACTGGACGTGTCGTTACAATAATATTATGCCTAGGTTAGTATGGAGTTAAAAGGTTTTCTGAAACCAGCTATTGATGCTGGTCAAAGCTTGCTTCTTTGAATTTCTTGGTCACAGGCTTCTCTGTTGCTTCCTTTCTTTTGCTTCTTGATTTCATTGTTGGATAGGTAATATTGTTTCACATAATCTATAAATACTGCTTCTATTGAAGCTGGGAGCGTTTCATTTTGTTAAATAATTTCTCTTGAATAAGATTACAGTAATTTTCTCTCCAATAAGGCTTTTGGAAAATTGATTTACGAAGTTTTGCTGGTCAAAGATTCCAGATGCAGATTCCACTGTCTTGTTGCCATCATATTTTTCCTCTTTCTAATTCATTGTGATACTGATACAGGTTGTGGACACGGAAGGAGAAGGAGATTGCAGTTGTTACACATAGTGGATTCTTGATACATACACTCAGTGCATTTGGTAATGATTGCCATCCAGATGTAAAGAATGAGATATGTAGACCGTAAGTTCTCAACTCATTGGTGACCTGATATGCTGGAAGTTGGTTTGATCACATTCTAACTCCACTTGTTGAATTACCAATATATAAGCCTTTACATGATAGACACCTGATCAAACTCTAAACTACAACTGTCTTAAGGCGACAACAATAGGAAAATTGTCATATACAGATAAGGACTGAACTTGTCTAAACTTTTAGATCTCTGGTCTGCCTTACCCGCCCAGATATAAAAGGCAATCTTTCTACTAAATATGACATCCTGTCTCACAAGGACATTTAATAAGTCTTGTGGTAGCTTATCAATGTCATCTACTGACTTTGCTGGTTTGTCTTAATATTCATGCTGCTCATTCATTTCCTGCCCGTAGCTTAATACTAATCAATATCATGCCTCCTGTCCACCTATCCCTCTCCTGCCACGTTCTTTGTTGGCTGTCTTGGGAGAAGTTGGCAGAAGTGTCAACTGTTTTTTTTGGCTTGGTAGAATAGCTGAAAGGTGTGTTTGTTTCCTTGAAGGTTTGTTGTTTCAGCTTGATAGGATAGCTAAAACTATGTCTGCAATTGGCCTCTCCATTTTGAGATACAGTACATTGTCTCAGCATTTTCATTGTGTGAATTATACTCAAGGTGGAAACCTTTTGATCATTTGATGTTCTTGTATGTAATTTGCAGATTCAATAACTGTGAACTCCGGTCCATGGTTATTATTGACAGAAGGTTTGTGTTTCTAAAACCTATTGAACCAATCTATCTCCATTTGTTTTTATTGCTGACTGACTTTGTCACTCTGTAGCATGATTGGGTCAGATTCTTCAACAACTGATTATCCAGGAAAAATTCCAAGTGGAGTAGATGTCCGAAGTGACGATACATGTATTAATCATCCAGATGGATTGTCAAACTGATCTCAAGCAGCGGCAATCAAAAGTGGTGGCGTTTGGGTTGCTTTTACTATTCTTTCAAGTAATGTATTGGATAATCTCATTTGGAGCTGGCACTTTTTGGCTAACTCAGAATTTATTATTCTTGAAGAAAGTCGACCAAGCCAAACTCAGTAGTCTGAAGGTATAAGCAAGAGCTTCAATACCTTACAAGTATCAGCAAGTATTTGTTGTAGTTGTCTAAATTACACTCTCATACGCGTATAATGTAAGTCATGTTCCTTGAATTGAAAGTGTGCTTTAGGTATCATGTTTTCAGTTACTGTGTCGTTAGGGGTGACAAATTGGTTAAAAGAAAATAGTTAACCACCCATATTATCCACTAAAAATGGGTTGGATAATGAATCTTTTTAAAAATGGGTCAAATATGGATAAGAACCATATTATCCATTTAGAAAATGGATAACCAATGGGTCTAACTTTTAAATTTGTAAAGCCTCAAAATGGGGGTTCCTCAAGTTAGGGAGACTAAGAATTCTCCCAAAAGTGATCATATGCAAGAATTCATGGATAATATTGTTACCCATATTGCCCGCCGGTTAACCCGTTTTTTTATCCGTATTAAATATGGGTCGGGTCGGATAATTGATCCGTTTTTTCATTACCCGTTTTCGACCTGAACCATATCCGACCCGACTCGCCCGTTTGCCACTCCTATGTGTCGTGTTTGAATTTCTGGTAGGGGTTTTGCCTCCTGTAAGGGAAATCCATTTTGTGATTCATCTCTGCAGGCTGTATCCTCTTTGCATTTTACCCCATCTATAATTGAAAGGACAAGAAGCAAAATAGCTATCCTATCACGACATTAAAAATAGCTGGTTTAGTTGAACTTTGGTCATTTGACAAGCTTGTGGTGGCTTTATCTTGCTTTTAATGTTAACTTTTTTTTCTTTCTTTGTTCAGCAATGAGAAAAGAAGAAAGTAAACCTAGGCCTTGATTATTTAGTCAACTATATCTTATTTGAACATTACACTAAGTCTAGCGTTACACCATTCAGTCTTTTGGAACAAACGAAGTTTCTAAGAGAACAGAATTTCATTACTCGTATTACAATTTTTTTTTTTACATATATACAAGCTTTTGTTCAACACTTACAATATACAAACTGCGAGTCTGTAACATACATAGACTCCACATGAATTTTGAGAAGGGTGCACATCATTAATCTTTACAGAAGACTCAGCATGCGCCCTAAACTTCTTAGCAATTTAAGCAGATGGGTAAGAAGGTTGCAAAGCAATTCCACAGACTCCTTCCTCTGCATCAACGTCTCTTTGCATTCTTATGTATCCATTCTCACCCCAACTTGTTCCCCATGAATTCTTCACTAACCAATATTTAGTACCATCACTAGTCTTCCCATAACCAACTGCAGTGACACCATGATCTAACTCAGTTCCACATTCTCTAGTGAAAACACCGCTTGAATAGAACTGAAAATCTGATCCGCTGGCATCAATGGCAACGGATATTGGTTGGTTGGCAACTGCTTTTAGCAAAGCAGATTCACTATTGGCTGGAACATCTTCGTAACCTGTGATCTTGGCTGCATGATTGGACTTTTTGCCAGTTTTGCAAGTACCATCAGTTCCCTCATATGGGTAATTGGATTCAGTAGTAAGCCCATGGTTCTTGATTGTGAATTTAAAAGCATCTTCCATAAGACCTCCTTCACATCCCATATCTGAACTTGTGTCACAATCCACCAATTCTTGTTCTGATAAAGAAATTAACTTACCCTCTTGATCTTGTTCATTCCTTCTGTAGCAGCAACAGCAGAAAATGCCCAGCAACATCCTAAATTATATTATTATTAGGTGATAAGATGTTAGTAATCCACACTCATTAAAAGGATGTTATGAATGAAAATGTTTAGTTTGTTTTAGCTTACCACATTGTCCTTGGTCCTTAATTCCAGTAACATCGCCTTTCGTTCTCCAATCCATAGTAGCTGGAGCAGTTACATTTTCATACTTGAATGATGTGGCTTTTGATAAGTGTTGATGAGAAGACATTTTGTACCCATTGCGACTGGCTCTGAATTCTTCTTTTCTTATATCAGCAAATTCATTAATGCCTAACTTGTAAGGTCGAGTCCCAGCCTTGTTAACAAATTCAATGTACTCAACATTGTCCTGAAATATTTTGAATCTTTTAGCCTTCTCTATATCATCTTTGTACACCCGTCCATAGCGATTCATCCACTGCTCGTGTTTCTGGACAATGGAAGCTTTCATATAAGTCTCGAGATGTGGCTAGAGAAGCAAACATTGCCAACACTAGTAGAGCTGCAAAAGCAAGCTTTGAGTTCAATGTCAAGCTGGCCATTTTTCACGACCTGATTATATATATATATATAATGTATCTCATCTTTGTTCTATTATTTCAAGAAAATGAAAGGAAATATGGCAAAAACAACAGAGCCAAAAGCAGAGTGTTGATTATAGTCGGTGTATAGGTCAAAATCTGCCCCAAGGGAATTTAGCATAAAGTGGCGTTAAGGAAAATGATGTGGCCGAGGTCGACTAGTAAACAGTGGGACTCGTAGCCGGGCAGTCAATAATGGTCGAGGTCAAGCATCAAGAACAGAGCACTAATGACTAGTTTTTGTAATAGGATATTTAAGAGAATATTCATTGAATAATCTTTACACTTGTACTATCAGGGTTGATTGGGGATATGTCTAATATAAATAGAAAAAGAGATAAGGGGATAGGGCATATAATTTTTATTTGATAAGAAAACTTTTTAAGAAGAAGAGTCTCTCTCTAGAAAAGACACAAATACTACCCTTTTAATAAGATTTTACCATCTATTATTCCATACTTTTCCATCAGATCCGAGAATAGTTCCAATATTCTAGGATTTATGTGTCATTCATCACTGTCAGAAAGAAGAACCATCCACCTCATTCAATATTGGGTGAATCATTCTCCTTATTTACTATAATGTTATTTATTGCTTGATGTTCTTCTATTATTGCTCAAATCTTTTAGAATATTAAATGCACACTGTATTTAATTCCCCACCAAGGCTATCTTACGTTACCTGTATTAACAAATTCTAAATCTAGAAATATTATCATTGACTAGGTTTAACCCCTCATTACTTAAAATTAATTAGTTTAACCGAAGGTTTACACTTTTTGGTCAAATAGTCTGTGCAAATATTGTCACTGTACAAACCATGGTTTATTAGTTACACTGTCACGATCCAATTCCATTATAGGTCATGATGGCGCCCAACACCATTGTCAGACAAGCCAATGTGGAAATATTAATAAGTTCTCAATTTACTTTACTAAAACAAGTACAACAATTTTTAAATTTGGAGTTAAAACAAATAATAATTTGTAACGAACAAAAAAAGTTATACAATCCCCAAAGGAATAGTCTACTAATGTGCGTGCCAAGACCTGGTTTCACAAGTATGTGGGCATCTAGTAGAATATACAAAAGAATAAATCTATCCTACTGTCTGAAATGGAATAGACAGCTAAAAGTAAAGAGAGACTCCATCGTGCTGCTAAACGGCATAGGAAGGGAGCAGCTCACCGTAGAATGTCGGAATACGATCAAGAATGTGCACCAGCCTGGTAACCATATGTACCTGCCTCAGATCCTGTACAATTAAGTACAGAAGTGCAGTATGAGTACATAAACAACATATACCCAGTAAGTATCCTGTCTAATCTCGAAGAAGTAGAGACGAGAGGTCGACTTGACACTTACTAGGGTCAAATAATATGAGAAAGAGTCATACTAAGCATGGATAGCACAAATAATTTAACAGTTTATAGCAAGAAGCAGCAGGTCCTTTCCTAGATAATATCACAGTTGGCCATTTACATTTCAGGGCATATAACAAAGTCCAATCCACAGAAAATTACCGAGCAAGAAGCATGCGCAAGTAGTGCCAAGGTTGTACGACCCGATCCAACATAAAAGTAAAGTGTGCACTGCCAAGGGTCGAACAGCGCAAACCATAGATGCATCTATTACCCCGCTCGCGAATCATACATGTGACGCGATCAAATATAATTAAGCACAACAAATGGCAGACAAGAATATATCCAGGGAGCAATTACTCACAGAAATGTCAACTCCTCTTTAAAAGGTCAAGAAAATGATGTTCCTTTTTATTAATTTCATTTACCACTTTAAATCATGATTTAAGCAATCCAAATTAACCATAAAGTTACAAGTATATCACATAAAGCATGTTTTTGGATACTAGACTACCCAGACTTAAGCATAATAGTGGCTACACGCGGACTCAAAACACCTAGTGCGTACGTATCCCCGCATTTAGTGGCAATTATTCAATTATTTTACCTATGGGGACAATTCCCTCTTAAAAGGTTACATAGGAGACCCACTTTGCTCCAAAGCGTACTTCCAATACCAAGAACGTGCTCAAACCCTCAATTTGGAGCCGAACGATCTGAAACTAATTAAACGAGGTAGGAACTAGTCAATACAAGCTCAAGATTTCGCATTTTAATTACTAAAGTAATTTCCCAACCTTAAACACAAGTTTTCTAAAATCCGACCTCAGGCCCACGTGCCTGGATTCCGAAATTGTTTGAAAAAAGTTGTTCTTTGTAACCTAAGGATCAATAATATATGATTTTTACTTCATTACATAACAAATTTCGTGGTTAAATCTAACTTTTATCAAAACCCTAGGTTTTGCTCTAATCCCATAATTTTTCTTTAATCTTTATGTTTTAATCTACCCAAGGCTCAAGTATTAAACTAGAAATAAGTGAGATGAACTTACCTCAAGATGCTAGGTGGAATTCCTCTCTTTAAAAGCTCCCAAATCGCCCAAACAATGGTGGAAATGTGTCAAAAATGACATAATCCCGTATTAAATGAAGGCACTGCCTTCAGCGATTTCCGCATCTGTGGTCAAGGGACCGCATCTGCGGTCTCGCTTCTACGAGAGGGGGTCCGCATCTGCAGAGTTGGTCCAGGGGGCTGGGATCGATTTTGCGATCTTGGAGCCACTTCTACGGAGAAGGAGCTGCATCTGCGGTTCCTAGGCTCCTCCCATTGGCCGCTTCTGCGATGGGTCGACCGCACCTGCGGTTGACCAACCACAGGTGCGATTATGACAGATAGCTGGAGCTTCAGCTCCTTTCCAATTTTTCCAATTTCACTCGAGCCATGTCCGATTGACTCTCGGGGTCCCCGGTGCCCCGCCCGAACATACCTATAAGTTCGAAATGATAAAATGGACTTGCTCGAACCCTCGGAATGCCCGGAACAATGCTAAATTTAAGAATCATCTCCTAAAACCAATTGAATCAAATTTATGAACTTCAAGTTCTTCAAATTACTTCTAATGCGCCGAAACGTACTTATACTACTCGGATTGACACCAAATTTTGCATGCAAGTCTTAAATGACACTACGAAACTATTCTCGATCTCGGAACTCCGTTCGGGCCTTGATAACATAAAAACCTGCTCCAAACCAAATACTTAAGAACTTCAAAATTCCTTAATGAATCAACTTCCTCTATTAGGCGCCAAAACGCTCTCGGGTCATCCAAAACCCGATTCGAATACACGTTTAAGTCTGAAATCTTCATACAAACCTATTGGAACCATGAAATCCCGATTCCGAGGTTGTTTACTAAAAATGTTGACCGATGTCAAACTTGACCTTTTAAGTCAACCTTAAGGAACCAAGTATTCCGATTTCAACCCAAACTCTTCCAAATCCCGATCCAACCATTCCCGCAAGTCATAAATCAGTAAAAGCAAGTACGAAAAGTCTTAACTAGGGGAACAGGGTTCTAAAAGTGAAACAACCAGTCAGGTTGTTACATTCTCCACCTCTTAAACAAATGTTCGTCCTCGAACGGGTTTAGATTCATACCTGATGTGCTGAATAAATGTGGATATCTGCTCCGCATGTCCTTCTCGGATTCCCAGGTCGCCTCCTCGGCTGGTTGGCCCCTCCACTAGACCTTCACCGCAGAAATCCTCTTGGATCTCAACTGGCGATCCTGTCTATCAACAATGGCAACTGGCTCCTCCTCATAACCCAAACTCTCTTCCAGCTGAATAGTACCGAAGTCTAACACATGAGACAAGTCGACGCGATACTTCCGCAACATCGATACATGGAAAACAGGATGAACTCCCGATAAGCTGGGGGGTAAAGTAAGCTCGTAAGCAACCTCCCCAACTCGCCTCAACACCTCAAATGGGCCAATAAACCTTGGGCTCAACTTACCCTTCTTCCCCAACCTCATAATACCTTTCATTGGCAAGACTTTCAAGAGGACCTTCTCGCCAACCATGAATGATACATCACACGCCTTCTGATACGCGTAACTTTTCTGTCTGGACTGAGCTGTGTGAAGCCTTTCCTGAATCAACTTCACCTTATCCAAGGCATCTTTCACCAAGTCTGTGTCGTACAACTTAGCCTGACCTGGCTCAAACCACCCGATAGGAGAACGACATCGCCGACCATATAAAGCCTCAAATGGAGCGATCTCGATGCTGGACTGATAACTATTGTTGTAAGCAAACTCTGCCAAAGGCAAGAACTGATCCCACTGTCCTCCAAAGTCAATCACACATGCTCTAAGCATGTCCTCCAAAATCTGAACTATCCGCTCTGACTGCCCGTCAGTCTGAGGATGGAATGTTGTGCTAAGCTCTACACGGGTCCCCAACTCACTCTGAATGGCTCTCCAGAGATGGGAAGTGAACTGAGGGCCTCTGTCTGATATGATGGAAACAGGCACACCGTGCAACCAGACTATCTCCCGAATGTAAATCTGAGCATATCTCTCTGAAGTATAAGTAGTCGCCACTGGAATAAAGTGGGCTGACTTGGTCAACCTGTCAATAATGACCCACACTACATTAAACTTCTGCAAAGTTCGGGGCAGCCCAACTACGAAGTCCATAGTAATGCGCTCCCACTTTCACTCTGCTATAGGCATTTGCTGAAGTAGACCACCTGGCCTTTGGTGTTCATACTTAACCTGCTGGCAATTCAAACACCTAGCCACATACTCCACTATGTCTTTCTTCATCCTCCGCCACCAATAATGTTATCTCAAGTCATGATACATCTTCGTAGCACCCGGATGAATGGAATACCGTGAACTGTGTGCCTCCTTTAGGATCCTCTCCCTCAGACCATCAACATTAGGAACACATAGGCGACCCTGGAGTCACAAAACACCATCCTCTCCAATAGAAACCTCCTTGACACTACCCTATAGCACTGTCTCCCTGAGAACTGCCAAATGTGGATCATCGAACTGCCGGGCCTTGATCTGCCCCAATAATGAAGACTGAGCAACAACACACGCAAGAACTCGGCTGAGCTCTGAAATATCCAACCTCACAAGTCTGTTAGCCAATGACTGAATGTCCAAGGCTAGTGACATCTCCTCTGCTGGAATGAATGCCAAGCAACCCATACTCTCTGCCTTCATGCTTAAGGCATCCGCGACCACATTTTCCTTGCCTAGATGATAAAGAATGGTGATGTCATATTCCTTCGGTAACTCAAGCCCTCTACGCAGCCTCAAATTGAGATCCCTCTGCTTGAACAAATGCTGTAAGCTGCGTTGATTAGTATAAACCTCACATGACACCCCATACAGGTAATGCCTCTATATCTTAAGAGCATGAACAATCGCGGCCAACTCTAAATCGTGCACAGGATAGTTCTTCTCATGAATCTTCAGCTGACGCGAATCATATGCAATAACTCGCCCCTCCTGCATCAATACACAACCCAATCCAACGCGTGAAGCCTCGCAATATACCGTATACATCCCTAATTCGGAAGGCAACACAAGAACAGGTGTTGTAGTCAAAGTTGTCTTGAGCTTCTGAAAGCTTGCCTCACAATCATCGGACCAACGGAAAGGATCACCCTTCTGGGTCAACCTAGTCAGAGGTGATGCAATAGATGAAAAGCCCTACACGAATCGTTTGTAATAACCTGCTAACCCCAAGAAACTCCTAATCTCGGTCACTGAAGTAGGACGTGGCCAACTCTGAACTGCCTCAATCTTCTTGGGATCCACTTTAGTACCCTCTCGCGACACAATATGCCCCAAGAATGCCACTGACTCTAGCCAAAACTCATACTTGGAGAACTTAGCATATAGCTTCTGCTCTCGCAAGGTCTGAAGCACTACTCTCAAATGCTGCTCGTGCTCCCCCAGGCTACGGGAGTATATCATATGTCGTCAATGAAGATGATGACAAAAGAATCAATATAAGGTCTGAATACCCTATTCATCAAGTTCATAAATGCTGCTGCGGCATTAGTCAAGCCAAAGGACATCACCAGAAACTCATAATGGCCATATCTAGTCCGAAATGCAGTCTTCGGAACATTCGAGTCCCGAATCTTCAACTGATGGTACCCTAACATCAAGCCAATCTTAGAGAACACCCTAGCACCTTGAAACTGGTCGAACAAATCATCAATGTGTGGCAACGAGTACTTATTCTTGATGGTAGCCTTGTTCAACTGGCGGTAGTCAATGCACATCCGCATGGTCCCATCCTTCTTCTTTACGAACAACACTGGTGCACCACAAGGTGACACACTTGGTCTAAAAAATCCCTTTGCGAAAAACTCCTCAAGCTGATCCTTCAACTCCTTCAACTTTTTCGGAGCCATACGGTACGGTGGAATAGATATAGGCTGGGTGCCTGGAGCCAAATCAATACAGAAATCAATATCACGATCCGGTGGCATGCCAGAGAGGTTAGAAAGAAACACATTGGCGAACACCCGGGCTACTGGAACTGAATCAATCATCGGAGACTCTGCGGTGGTGTCGCGAACATAAGCTAGATAAGCCAAACAACCCTTCTCGATCATGTGTCGAGCCTTTAGAAAAGAGATAACTCGACTAGATGTATTAATTGAGGAACCCTTCCACTCCAACCTTGGCAACTCTGGCATTGCTAATGTAACAGTCTTGGCATGGCAATCTAGGACTGTGTATATGGAGATAACCAATCCATGCCCAGGATGACCTCAAAATCGATCATGTCAAGCAACATAAAATCTGCTCTAGTCTCGAAATCGCAAAATGTAACCGCACAGGACCGGTAGATCCAATCCACAACCACAGAATTTCCCACAGGAGTGGATACATGAACAAGAGTACCCAAAGGCTCACGAGGAATATCCAGGAAATGAGCAAACAGAGATGATACATATGAATAGGTAGACCCTGGATCAAATAGCACTGAAGAATCCCTACCGCAAATAGAGATAATACCTGTGATAACGGCATATGAGGCCAATGCATCTGATCTGGCCAGAATGGCATAAAATGTGGCTAGAGCGCTGCCTGGCTGGCCTCCACCTGTTTGAGCAGTAGCTGGCCGACCTCTCCCTGGTTGGCCTCCACCTCTAGGACGACCTCTACCCATCTGTCCCCCGCCTCTGGGAGGCTGGGCAACCGGTGCTGAAATCATGGGCTGCTGCCCCTGCTGTACAGCCTTGCCCAAAAATTTGGGGCAAGTCCTCTTCATGTGACCCGAATATCCACACTCGTAGCAACCTCTCGGCACCATAGCCTGTTGTCCTGAAGTCTAAGCCTGCTGACCTGAATATCCACTGGAAGAACCCTGAATGACTGGTGGGTGATATGAACTCTCTGGCGTGGCACTAAAGTAAGCACTGGAAGAACTTGGATGACCAGAATACCCGACGGAGGAACCCTGAATAGCTGGTGGACGATAAGAACTCTCCGGTATCACACTGAAATAAGTCCTCACTGGAGAACCTCGGGGAGGTGGTGGTGGTGCTGGATACGGGGGCCTGTCGGGCTGACCCCTCCCGAAGTGACCTCTGCCCCTAGCTGGGGCACCTCTGAACTCTCTAGAAAACCGGGCCCTCTTGTCCTGCTGAATCTGCTCTCTACCCCTCTGGCGATAACCCTTAATCCTACGAGTAATCTCTACCACTAGCTAATACTCAGTACCCATCTCCACCACTCGGGCCATACTAGACTGAATACCGAGGTGTAGCCCTGCAACAAATCTCCGCACTCTCTCTACATCCATGGGAAGTATCATAAGTGCATGGCGAGACAACTCAGAAAACCTTGCCTCATAATCAGTCACGAACATCTGACCCTACTCAAGCTTCTCAAACTGATACCGCAACTCTTCCCTCTCAGAGGGTGGAATATACCTGTCCAAGAATAATTGTGTGAACTGACCCCAAGTGATGGGAGGAGAACCTGCTGGCCTGCCAAGAACATAAGACTACCACCATCTACGGGCCCTGCCCTCCAACTAAAAAGTAGTGAAGTCAACCCCATGCAACTCTAATATCCTCATGTTGTGCAGTCTGTCCCTGCACCTATCAATGAAATCCTGGGCATCCGCTTGACGCTCACCCCCTACGACAGGAGGGTGAAGTCTAGTCCATCTATCCAATAACTTCTGCGGGTCACCATCCGCAGCTGGTCTAGGATCGGGCACCACTGCAGCTACTAGCTAAGCCCCATCTGCGGGTAGTACACCCGGAGTCTGATACACTGTAGCTGCATGACCAGGAGCTTGAGCAGTAGGGGTTTGTGATCCCCCTCCTACCTATGATATAGCTGGATCCGCTGGAAATAAACCAGCTTGAGTCATGGTGTCCATGAACCGCAACATACGGACCATGACCTCCTGGAAACCCGGTGCTATCATAAAGTCCACCGGGGTAGGCTCAGCTGCGGGCACCTTACCCTGCTCCTCAATGATAGGATCTCCCGCATGATCTGCTGGTGGTGCTACTGGAACAACTATGGGATTCCCTCGTCCCCTACCTCGGGCCGGTGCCCTCCCCCGTCCTCTACCTCAGCCTCTAGCAATAGGGGGAGCAGCTCCTCCCAGGCCTGGATCATATGCCGTGCGTTTACTCACCATATGTGAGAGAATAGAAGAGGAAAAATTTAGTATACCAACCACTGCACGATAGGAGATGAATAAAGAGTAGTTTCCTAACACCCTATAGCCTCTCGAAGATAAATATAAACGTCTCCGTACTGATCCGCAAGACTCTATTAGATTTGCCCATGACTTGTGAGACCTACGTGAACCTAGTGCTCTGATACCATATTGTCACGACCCAATTCCATTATAGGTCATGATAGCGCCCAACACCATTGTTAGGCATGCCAACGCAGAAATATTAATAAGAATATACAAAAGAATAAATCTATCCTACTGTCTGAAATGGAATAGATAGCCAAAAGTAAAGAGAGACTCCTTTGTGCTGCTAAACAACATAGGAAGGGAGCAACTCACTGTTGAATCTCAGACTACGATCAAGAATGTGCACCAGCCTGGTAACCAGATGTACCTGCCTCAGATCCTGTACAATTAGGTATAGAAGTACAGTATGAGTACATAAACAACATATACCCAGTAAGTATCCTGTCTAATCTCGAAGAAGTAAAGATGAGAAGTCGACTTGACACTTACTAGGGTAAAATAATATGAGAAAGAGTCATACTAAGCATGGATAACACAAATAATTTAACAGCTTATAGCAAGAAGTAACAGGCCCTTTCCTAAATAATATCACAGTTGGCCATTTATATTTTAGGGCATATAACAAAGTCCAATCCACAGAAAACTACCGAGCAAGAAGCATGCGCAAGTAGTGTCGAGGTCGTACGGCCCAATCCAACATAAAAGTAAAGTGTGCACTACCGAGGGTCGAACGACGCGAACCATAGATGCATCTATTACCCCGCTCGCGAATCATACATGCGACGTGGTCAAATGTAATTAAGCATAACAAATGGCAGACAAGAATATATCTAGGGAGCAATTACTCACAGAAATATCAACTCCTCTTTAAAAGGTCAAGAAAATGATGTTCCTTTTTATTAATTTCATTTACCGCTTTAAATCATGATTTAAACAATCCAAATTAACCATAAAGTTACAAGTATATCACATAAAGCATGCTTTTGGATCCTAGAATACCCGGACTTAAGCATAATAGTGGCTACGCACGCACTCTCATCACCTAGTGCGTACGTATCCCCCCCATTTAGTGGAATTTATTCAATTATTTCACCTATGGGGACAATTCCCTCTTACAAGGTTAGATAGGAGACTTACCTTGCTCCAAAGCGTACTTCCAATACCAAGAACGTGCTCAAACCCTTAATTTGGAGCCGAACGATCCGAAACTAATTAAACGAGGTAGGAACTAGTCAATACAAGCTCAAGGTTCGCATTTTAATTACTAAAGTAATTTTCCAACCTTAAACACAAGTTTTCTAAAATCCGACCTCGGGCCCACGTGCCTGGATTCCGAAATTTTTCGAAGAAAGTTGTTCTTTATAACCTAAGGATCAATAATATATGATTTCTACTTCATTACATAACAAATTTTGTGGTTAAATCTAACTTTTATCAAAACCCTAGGTTTTGCTCTAATCCCGTGATTTTTCTTTAATCTTTATGTTTTAATCTACCCAAGACTCAAGTATTAAACTAGAAATAAGTGGGATGAACTTACCTCAAGATGCTAGGTGGAATTCCTCTCTTTTAAAGCTCCCAAATAGCCCAAACAATGTTGGAAATGTGTCAGAAATGACACATTCCTGAATTAAATGAAGGCACTGCCTTCAGCGATTTTCGCATTTGCAGTCAGGGGATCGCATCTGCGGAGTTGGGACTAGGGGATGGGACCGCTTCTGCAGTCTTGGAGCCACTTCTATGTACCCGCTTCTGCAGAGAAGGAGCTACATCTGCGGTTCCTAGGCTCCTCCTCTTGGCCGCTTCTGCGATGGGTCGACCGCACCTGCGGTCTCGCACCTACGGCTGACCAACCGTAGGTGCGGTTATGACAGATAGCTAGAGCTTCAGCTCTTTTCCAATTTTTCCAACTTCACTCGAGCCTCGTCTGATTGACGCTCGGGGCCCCTAGGGCCCCACCCGAACATACCTACAAGTCCAAAATGATAAAACGGACTTGCTCGAACCCTCGGAATGCCCGGAACAACGCTAAATCTAAGAATCACCCCCTAAAACCAATTGAATCAAACTTATGAACTTCAAGTTCTTCAAATTATTCTAATGCGCCGAAACGTACTTATACAACTCGAATTGACACCAAATTTTGCGTGCAAGTCTTAAATGACACTACAGAACTATTCTCGATCTCGAAACTCCGTTCGGACCTTGATAACATAAAAACCCGCTCCAAACCAAATACTTAAGAACTTCAAAATTCTTTAATGAATCAACTTCCTCTATTAGGCGCCAAAATGCTCCCGGGTCATCCAAAACCCGATCCGAACACACTCTCAAGTCCGAAATAATTATACAAACCTATTAGAACCATCAAATCCCAATTCCGAGGCCATTTACTCAAAATGTTGACCGAAGTCAAACTTGGTCTTTTAAGCCAACTTTAAGGAACCAAGTGTTCCGATTTCAACCCAAACTCTTCTAAATCCCGAACCAACCATTCTCACAAGTTATAAATCAGTAAAAGCAAGTACGAGAAGTATTATCTAGGGAAACAGGGTTCTAAAAGCAAAACGACCAGTCATATCGTTACATACACTGACATGATATAAGTGCTCTAGCTTATTAGGTACAAAATTTCTTTCTTTATCCCTTAAAGAGGGAAATGTTGTAAGTGAATCAAAAAGAAAAAGCCAGGAGCTTTGTGGCTTCTTCTGTTGAAACTGTAGAGGTTGTTTTAAAATCAATATTCTATAAGAGTATCAGCTCAACAGTTGGTCTTTTGAAATTGCTAGCTATCCAATTATGCTATCGTGTAACTTAATTTGCTGCTTTAAATCGGTAGCCACATCAGATACTAAGATACAAATATATAATCTTGGGTTAAACAGAGACCGATAGTTATTGGGTCTTGCTTATCCTGTTATGATACAAATCAACCCAGTTATGGCGGGATTTTCATGGAAGAAAAACCTACCATCGTATGAGAGAAGAGAAGGGACTGGAAGTTAGAGAGAGAAATATTAGGAGAAAACAAAATGAAATGATTGTCCAACTTTATTATTCAGCACTTCATTGTTTATATATTTACACTTCAGATGACTAAGAGCCCGTTTAGATTGGCTTATTTTAAGTATTTTTAAGCCAAAATAGCTTTTAAGCCACTTTGTAGTGTTTGGATAAAGTAAAAAACTGCTTTTGCACTTGTTTTTAGACTAAAAATGCCAAAAATAAGCCAAAAACCAAAAGCTAGAATTCATAACTTATGGCTTTTAGCTTAAAAGTCACTTACAACAAGCCCATCCAAATGGGCTCTAACTATGTAATGATACAATGGCTATCTAAGTAGTTGGGCTTAACTACTTGGGCCTTCAACCAACTCATGAGAGGTTGCTCAATATGGTTAACACCCTCTCCCCCCAAGATTGAGGGTGATGCAACACCAAGCTTGCCAAGAATCAAATGGTGGAGATATCCAGGAAGGGCCTTGGTCATGATATCTACTAGTTGAGCAGAACTTGGAACAAAATGAAGAGAGATTAAACCAGCTTGAAGGCTGTCCTGGACATAATGGAAATCTATTTCAATGT